ATTCATTTTAGATGTCATATCAGTTCTTGTTCGCTCTGGGACAAATGCAAATACTACGTTCTGTGATATATTATAATTATATATGGTATGTTTGATGTATGAGACAATGCCATATCCAATTTGCTGATAATGTCTAGTTAAAAGATATTTTGTCTTATGCTATCATTTGCTATGAGTCGTAGAAGAATTTAGATTCATTCTTCTACCTGTTCTTCTGCAGTAGAAGGTAGGCTTAACTTACCAGAATCTGTCCCTTGCGGGTTTCCCCATCTACCACGAGCAGGGCCGGTGCAAGGATTTTTGCCGCCCTAGGCAAAAGAAGGATTTGCCACCCGGAACATGCTTATTACTTACCCATGCAGACTAAGCAGCCAGTGCTGCACACAGTGTGTGTTTACATTAAAAGCCTGCGGGACAAACTATAGACACCAGGGAACCACTTCATTAAGCTGCAGTGGTTCTGGGGACTATAGTGTCCATTTAATGTGAGGTAAATTAGAGATTAGTGTCACTAATAATATACTAGATTGCCTACTTACAATTAGATGAGGATGATGATGGGCTGCAGTTTGGCTCCACTGGTCTGGTGTAGAACAGGATCTCTGGAGGCTGTTTGTAACTGTGGTCACAAAATTCAATGTTCTGGGAGAACGGGAAGCAGCTCCATTTTTTTGGGGCCTCTTACATAGCTCAAGGTCTGGGCCCCAGGGCCTGACGGTGAGTATGCCCATAAAACCCACCCATAAGTCCACCTACATGTTCCACCCATGAGTCCGCTCACAGGGAGTAGAGTGTGTAGGGGATGTGTTATGTGTTACTGTAGAGGATCTAATGTGTGTGCTTACGGAATGTAGTGTATAGGGGATACCAGTTTGTGTAGGTGATGCAGTGTGTTTGTGTGTAGTGGAAGCAGTGTGTGTGTGTATAAGGGATGTATTGTGTGTTTCTTGTTGTGTGTAAGGGATGCATTGTGTGAATCTGTGTTTGTATGCATAAGGGATGCAAAGTGTGTTTCTGTGTATGTAAGGGATGCAGTGTGTGTCTGTAAGGGGTGCGTTGAGTGTGTGTAAGAGATGAATTGTGTTTCTGTGTGTGTAAGAGAAGCAGTGTGTGTTTGCATTTGTGTGTAAGGAATGCATTATGTGTTTCTGTGTATATGTGCAAATGATGCATTGTCTTTATGTGTAAGGGTTGCATTGTGTGTTTTTCTGTGTGTAAGGGAAGCATGTTGTGTTTCTGTGTGTATAGGGATGCATTGTGTGTGTGTGTGTGTGTGTGCGTGGTGTGAAAGAGCTCCCTGTCCCCCTGTCCTATAGAGCTCTCCCTTCCATTCCTTAGAGATCTCCCCTGCCCCTTAGTGGTCTCTCCTTTCCCCCCCACCTCCCTTAGTGGTCTCCTTTTCTCCCCGACATTCCATTAGTGGTCTCTCCTCTCCCCCCACCCTTCCCTAGTGGTCTATCCTCCACCCCCCTCCCTTAGCGGTCTCTCCACCGCCCCCTCCCTCCTTTAGTGGTCTCTCCCTCCCCTACGTTCTCATCTCCCACCCCTTGTGTTCTCCTCTTATTCCCCCCCTCCCTGTGTTTTCCTCTTATTCCCCCCTCCCTGTGTTCTCCTCTTCTTCTCCTCCCTGTAATCTTCTCTTCTTCTCCCCCCTTCCCTCCCTGTAATCGCTGCTTCTCCCCCCGTAATCTTCTCTTCTTCTCCCCCCATAATCTTCTCTTCTTCTCCCCCCCAATCTTCTCCCCCCTCCCATCAATCATCTCCCCCCCACTTCCCTCCCATCAATCATCTCCCCCCCTCCTTCCCTCCCATCAATCATCTCCCCCCTCCCTCTCTCTTATCAAATCTCCCTCCCCTCAATCATCTCCCCCATCCATCATTCCCCTCCTCCTCCCGTCAATCCTCCCCCCTCCCTCCCATCAATCATCTCCCCCCCCCTCCCACTCTCATCAAATCATCTCCCTCCCCTCAATCATCCTCCACCATCCATCATCCCCCCTCCTCCCCTCCCATCAATCATCTCCCCCCCTCCCATCAATCATCTCCCCTCCCATCAATCCTCCTCCCCCCCCCTCCCCATCAATCATCCTCCCCCTCCCTCCCCATCAATCATCTCCCCCCTCCCCATCAATCATCTCCCCGCCTCCCTCCCAAAGTCATCTCCCCCCCTCCCTCCCATCAATCATCCCCCCTCCCATCAATCATCCCCCCACTCCACTCCCATCAATCATCTCCCCCCCTCCCTCCCCCATCAATCATCTCCCCCTCCCTCCCCCATCAATCATCTCCCCCCCCACTCCCCATCAATCATCCTCCCCCAATCATCTCCCCCCCTCCCCATCAATCATCCTCCCCCCCCTCTCCTCCCCATCAATCATCTCCCCCCCCTCCCTCCCATCAGCTTCTCCTCACCTCACCTCCCCTGCCCTGTAGCGTGGCCGAGCTCCTTTCCGGTCCCGCGACCCGGCGGGACTGACAGGAAGTGCACACTGAGTGTGCACTTCCTTTCAGTCCCGCCGGGTCGCGGGACCGGAAAGGAGCTCGGCCACGCTACAGCAGGGAGGGGAGGTGAGGCACTGCGGCAGCCGCCTGAGCGCTCTCTATAGAGCGCTCAGGCGGCTGCAGAATTTAAAGGGCCGGCGATGGGGGCGCAGGGCGCCCCCTCCTATATGGCGCCCTAGGCGGCTGCCTAGTTCGCCTTATAGGAAGCGCCGGCCCTGACCACGAGGTCCTCCTTAGCTCCTGGTGCGTCATATATACATAAACATAAAGAAAAGTAGGGAAGACGTAAAGCAATGTTGTGTTTCATTTGCCGATCACAGATGGGCAAACAACAGACATCATAGGCAGAAGAGAGAAAAATTACTGCACCCAGGTATTGAGATCTGGCACAAGGGCCTTGCAAAAAGGTGTCAAGACAGTAGGTATACAGGGAGCATAAAAGTACAGTTCCACATTAAACGGAAAAACTATTTTAATATTAAATATTTATTTTTTTTAATATAGTCTCTGTGTATCATTTTGTAATGCATACGCACACACACACACACACACACACACACACACACGCATACAGGGAGTGCAGAATTATTAGGCAAATGAGTATTTTGACCACATCATCCTCTTTATGCATGTTGTCTTACTCCAAGCTGTATAGGCTCGAAAGCCTACTACCAATTAAGCATATTAGGTGATGTGCATCTCTGTAATGAGAAGGGGTGTGGTCTAATGACATCAACACCCTATATCAGGTGTGCATAATTATTAGGCAACTTCCTTTCCTTTGGCAAAATGGGTCAAAAGAAGGACTTGACAGGCTCAGAAAAGTCAAAAATAGTGAGATATCTTGCAGAGGGATGCAGCACTCTTAAAATTGCAAAGCTTCTGAAGCGTGATCATCGAACAATCAAGCGTTTCATTCAAAATAGTCAACAGGGTCGCAAGAAGCGTGTGGAAAAACCAAGGCGCAAAATAACTGCCCATGAACTGAGAAAAGTCAAGCGTGCAGCTGCCACGATGCCACTTGCCACCAGTTTGGCCATATTTCAGAGCTGCAACATCACTGGAGTGCCCAAAAGCACAAGGTGTGCAATACTCAGAGACATGGCCAAGGTAAGAAAGGCTGAAAGACGACCACCACTGAACAAGACACACAAGCTGAAACGTCAAGACTGGGCCAAGAAATATCTCAAGACTGATTTTTCTAAGGTTTTATGGACTGATGAAATGAGAGTGAGTCTTGATGGGCCAGATGGATGGGCCCGTGGCTGGATTGGTAAAGGGCAGAGAGCTCCAGTCCGACTCAGACGCCAGCAAGGTGGAGGTGGAGTACTGGTTTGGGCTGGTATCATCAAAGATGAGCTTGTGGGGCCTTTTCGGGTTGAGGATGGAGTCAAGCTCAACTCCCAGTCCTACTGCCAGTTCCTGGAAGACACCTTCTTCAAGCAGTGGTACAGGAAGAAGTCTGCATCCTTCAAGAAAAACATGATTTTCATGCAGGACAATGCTCCATCACACGCGTCCAAGTACTCCACAGCGTGGCTGGCAAGAAAGGGTATAAAAGAAGAAAATCTAATGACATGGCCTCCTTGTTCACCTGATCTGAACCCCATTGAGAACCTGTGGTCCATCATCAAATGTGAGATTTACAAGGAGGGAAAACAGTACACCTCTCTGAACAGTGTCTGGGAGGCTGTGGTTGCTGCTGCACGCAATGTTGATGGTGAACAGATCAAAACACTGACAGAATCCATGGATGGCAGGCTTTTGAGTGTCCTTGCAAAGAAAGGTGGCTATATTGGTCACTGATTTGTTTTTGTTTTGTTTTTGAATGTCAGAAATGTATATTTGTGAATGTTGAGATGTTATATTGGTTTCACTGGTAATAATAAATAATTGAAATGGGTATATATTTGTTTTTTGTTAAGTTGCCTAATAATTATGCACAGTAATAGTCACCTGCACACACAGATATCCCCCTAACATAGCTAAAACTAAAAACAAACTAAAAACTACTTCCAAAAATATTCAGCTTTGATATTAATGAGTTTTTTGGGTTCATTGAGAACATGGTTGTTGTTCAATAATAAAATTAATCCTCAAAAATACAACTTGCCTAATAATTCTGCACTCCCTGTATAATCAAGAGTTAGTGTTAGTTCAATACATAACTAAGGTAAGAGCATTATTAAAAAGCATTCTAAGTTCTTTTCAGACATTCAAATGATGCATTGTCTTAGCACAAAAGCAATGCTTTTAACCCAAGAGGGCTAAAAAATGGCTGTCTCCACAGATAGGGTAAGCCATGAGATACACTAAACAATTATTAGTTTATAAATAAAAACGACACAATAATGAGCAACAAAGCTGCATTACATGTAACATATTATTTTCAATAATATAAAACTAATGTTTCCTTTAAAAGTGCAGCAAGTGTACAGGTTGTTGGTGTCAGTGTGTCAGGTTTGCGTAATGGCAACCCCCTGATCCCCACACCAATAACTCCACCACACATCAAAAAAAATATGCAGTAGACACTCCCTATTTCCTGGTAAATGCCCGCAGGTGGCTGCTTTAAACGTTGGAAATAAACAGTTCTTTATATGTAGAGTTTAATATAATTCATGACAAATAACAGTACATACTTTTACTAAATCTCACAATTGTTTTACAGATTTAAGACAGGCATCAGTCTACTTTTCCAAAACACTACATACATAGGGCTGTCTTCATCATCTGGGATTTCATGCAAAAATTAGAAAAAAATACCAAATATTTGTAAAAAGTATAAAAAAAATCTTATTTAGAGGGGGGATGCTTGAGGTGACATAAATCCACAACACCATATTGTTGACATAGAATTCCCCTCTCTGATGGTCTGAACAGCTCCCATAGGTTGCAGGGAAGCAAGCTGTCTCTGAGTGTTTCCCAGGCAGAGACAGCTTCCAGGCTCAAGTCCACTCCAGGATGTCCCACAAGAGAGGACGTTAGGGTTTAAAGTTGTCTCTCTGCTGCTTGAAGCCTCTTACTCCATTGTTTGAAAACAGGGACAAATGTGCTGAATCTCCCGTCACCAAGTCACAACTAACTAAAGTGATCAGCAGGGGAAGGAGACGGAGACAAGTCCATTTGAGTGTTTTTCTTTAACGTATATATGTATAGTGTGTAGATATATGTGTATTTGTGTAAGAGCAATTGCATACCTCCCAACACCGGCGGCATACACATTTTATAATCATTAGTTAAACTACAATACATTTCCAGTGTATTTGTATGTATCAGTTCCTTTATTATTAGAATTTATGTAGAATAACTATGAATTCTTTATTGGAGTTTTGACGGAGGGAGGATGTAGAGTGTGTGAGGATACATGAGAAGATTTAGATAGAAGAAGGATATTTGAGGAGATATGAAATGCTCAGTGGTTGGGGACGCAAAAATAGATTTTACTCTGTGAGTGTATGAAATCCACATACTGCCAGGAAGATTTATGCAATTTTTTAATGTCATCATTCCCTATGCATGTTTATACAAA